CCCCAAAACCCCAAAACCCCAAAACCCCAAAACCCCAAAACCCCTCTTAGCTGAAATAATCTAATGACTAGGATAATAAATTAATGAATTCCAGCTTAACTTTAAAGAATTTGAATTGTGATTATTAGATTTTTTCAAAATTTAACTATTTTAGATAGTCTAGCTCTCTGCTTTTGCATATCTTTCTACCTCTTTTTATCTTCTAGTTTCCTTTGCTCATCAGGTGGTAGAGATCTGAGTTTTTCTTGCCATTTTTTATCTTCTTCCCTCTTCTTTTATAATATCTTTTCCTCCTCTTCTTCAGACTTTTCCTTTGCCTTTAACTTCTCAGCTTCCTTTCTATTTTTATCAGCCTTAGCTCTTGCTTCTTTAGATAATCTTAGAGTGGCAACTTTATCTACCATCATCAGAAGAGCTTTCAAGACCTTAGCACTTTCTTGTAGCTTGTCTGGGTTAGTATCAATATTTAACACTGCTCTAAGAGTTAATGGGCTAAAAGAACATTAAATATCAAAGTAACACTTACAAGTTGCTATAAACCTTCTGATCAGTAATATGAATCTCAGCAATATTGCCTGCTCCATTTCTGCTAAGAATATCTCCAATTTATTGATCAATTATATGATTAACTGCTTCTGTGGATTCTCCATAAATCACCAAAGTGTTGCTATCTTATTTTTCTGGTTGATATGATTTGGCCAAAAGAGGAGCAATAAACTTTTTGATGTAGGGGAATTGATTATGGAAATTCTTGATATCTCTAGTTCTGCACATAACAAATTCTATTGGAATTTTTGTAGTTGAACTGCCATCTCCTAGGGGATACTCTCCTACACTTATTGGAATCTCAACAATGACTTGATCTTTCTTTGGCCAAATAATTTCAAATCCGAGAGTAGTAAACAGGCATTATCTCTTCTTCAAGTCAAACTTAAATAAAGCATAGTGACAATTCTATCTTCCCGATGCGAAATACAAATACTCAGAATAGCTGATCTTCCTATTTTCAAATAATGAATACGTTGAGGGGTAATTACTCCATTGATGTGGATGTCTCTTTGGACACTCCGAAATGAGCAAAATTCTATGAAATCACCTAAGAACATGCTTTCTTCCACTCCTGAGCTAAAGCATCATTCGAGCCTCTGCCCTTGAAGAACATAAGAATGGCTACAATAAACACTACTATCCATAATGCCTCATAATTGTACTTTTAAGCATCTATCAGATAAAATATAAATTGACACGATTTACAATACGAGAATCCTGGATTAACTGGAACATGATCCTCTGGAAAACTTGGAATCTAGATAGTATCTTCTGGTGCCTGTACCTTGGAGGTGCTTTGCTAAATCAATTCCTGTTCATTGATAATTTCTTCATCTTCTAATTCTGCCTTATGAGAGAGAACTACGGTGAACAGGAGAGCTACTAGTGCAAGATATGCAAAGATTGAAATCTTCTTCATATTTAATAATGATGATAATAAATTTATTAATCGATAATTATTAAATTAAGAATAGTCTTCACATAGAAATTATTTCTCAAAGATTTTACTTTTAGCAAACTTCAAGATTTTTAATATTTTTATGACTATCAAGAAATAGTACTAGCAATCTTCATTATTCTTCTGGCTGGAAAAGATGAGCATTGAACCTATCAATTTTCTTGTATTGTTTTTAACTTAGAATTGAAGCTTTATCTCTTGGTGTTTAGCCAATTAGTGCTTATAGTCTTAGAGGACTTGGATGTTCTGAATTATAATGAGTAGCATTAAGTCTATTTTGAGTTTAGGTAGGATGAAGCTGACTAAGTGCCCTATTAGAATCTCTAATCTTAACATTTTCCCAATTTATAACTCCAGTGTTAATTTAAACTAAGGATGAATTGGTAGAGTTATTTTGTTGTATAAGAGCAGCTTTAAGTGATGGCATCTTTTCTTTTTCCTTATCCTTGTGGTCTTTAGAAATAATACTTATGTTAATCTGAGATAGATCAAGTGAAGCATTTTGCTTCTAATTGGCAGCCTTAAGCATGATATTGGGATCTAGGATCTAAGAGTAGTTGTGGAGTGGATTTTGATTTAAAAGGGTCTTCGTGATGTTGTTAGAGATATTCTTTTTAAATCTATCCTTATCAATTCCGTTTGCAAGGTTTCTAACTGATCCAAGATTAATCTGGCTGTTATTTTGACTGAAATCAGGTATTATCTCACTACTAGATCCCCCTCTCTTGCTATTTTTCTTAGGCTTAAATGTGTGATTAAGCTATATTTAAGAAGGCTTGTTGACTGCTGGAAGGAACAAGTTAAACTTATCCTTGCTCTTCATTGTCTGTATGCTATCCCTGTTAAGTTCGTTTTAGATAGTATCACGGAGTTCATTATCATTTGTTAAGGTGTGCTCTCTGCTATTATCTCTTTTCACTAAGTGATTCAATGGATGATGATCGCCACTTTCCACAAGTTATGGCAGGAGTCCGTCTAAGGTTTAGGATTTTACTAGATCCAGGTGAACTTAATGATCTGATATTTATTCTTTAAATTATGATATCTGTTTTTCAGTATTTTGCTGCAATGCTCTCATTTGGAGGAGATAGTCAGTCTTATCTCTAGCAGTTCTTTTTATTGCACTTTCAAGTTGAGATTCCAAATTCTCAAGGACTTTCATCTTCTCATCTTATTAATTGAGTGACTCTTTCATATCCTTCTCAAAGCCCTTAATTTATCTATCAATCCTTACCAATTCCCTTTGAGGCAAAGCCTATTAAACGCATTAGCCTATGTATATTCTGAGATTCTGAGCATCTAGGAGGCTCAATTATTGATCATGAGAATTCAATAGGTTAGTAATCTCCTTGATTTGATTTTCAAGAACTTAAATTTACTCCTTTATATTGTTGATTTCAGTCATATCAATCTTGGCGTATCTCATATCACTCTCTCTTTCTTTGCTCTCATCATATTCATCATGCCTTAGTTCGTCATCATTATCGTCATCCTCTTCCTCCGAATCCTCCTCAGTTTGTCTTCTTTCCTTAATCACACTCTTAGACATTTCACTTCTCTCCTATGATGTGATTGTATGCAGTTGTCTCTATGCATGCTTTATTTCGTTGCTCATGCTTGAGGTAGACTAGCGAACAGACTCTATCTTCAAACCTTAAGAATTTAAAGAGTTAGTAATTCTCTCGATCTCTGATCGGAATATCATATTTATGCTGTCCATATTATTATCTATTCTATTGATCTCATTGCGAACATTAAAATTGTGATCATCTAGTTGACTCATTTCTAAGTTTGCAAGTATATTTCTTGTATGAGGTTAGTTTTAGTATTGATTCAAATTCTATTGTGAAGATTCATCTCTTTTTGATTGTTGATAAGATGTGTGACTTTGATTGTTAATTCTAACCATATCCTATTCACTCTTCACTCTTTGAAACTCAATTTCCTTATTTATTGTTAAAATCTTGCTATCCTAGAAGCCCAGTTTTTCTTCGATTTGCATGGTCTTATACCTTACATCCTTAACTTGCTATTGTATCTCAAAGTTCACATCTTTTTAGAAATTCTCACCCCAGGTTTTTAATGAGTTCTTTATCTCCTTATTTAAATCACTAGTTAGCTAGTTTATAATTCTAGTTTGCATTCCGTGATTCTCTAATCCTATTTCATCCTTAATATCTTACTTTGCCTGTAAAATCATTAATTCTACTTAGTAGTCTCCACCACCGCCTCCAGATCCTCCTGAAGACTTTTTCAATAATTCTATAATAGATTTCCCTGAATTTTCAATTTTGGTATCATAATTACTCAAATTTTACTAAATATCTAAGGACAGCTAATTCTTTAATTCTATGACTTGTGTTTTTATTTCATCTAAAAACTGATTTTTCAAGATTTCATCCCTTCTTATCATATCAATCTTAACTTCATCAATAGTCTAATTTAACTTTTTATCATCAATTTAAGAGGCAGAATTTTCATGGTTGCTCTTGGATTGCATATCCTTTGGAGATTTAGTATTACCTCTTATTAACTTGTCCTGTAAATAATTTAGTTATGTTTAGATAGGTGCAAGAGCAGATTTTATCTCATTTTGAATTCTAGTTAAACTTTCTGTGCCACTCCCATCATTCTTGCCCCCAAAGCTATCAGGTCTTCCATTTGGATTAATTCCTAAATTGGACTTCTTTTTATTAATTTTCATTGGAGTGATTTAGCTTGGAATAGGATTTTTAAATGGATTTTCAAATGATGGCATTCCATTGTTGAATACAAGTTGATTTAGGTTTTTATTATTGAAGCTGGCTTTTGGTGAATCTTTATTTGATTCATCAAACACTGAGTTCTTTCCAAAAACATTTGCTCCCTAGTTAATAGAAGCTACAAAAGCATCTTAATTCTTAACATACTCTTAATCATTTTGTGGAAAATCTTAAGTTTCAATGATCTTATCAAGCTCATCAAAGTCATTCTTTGTAGGCTTTTTGTGATCTTTCTCCATGAACTCAAAGAGTTGGTTAATTTCAGAAGGATTGTTCATGCGATATTTAATTTTAGACATGATTTCATTATTGTGCTCAAAATAAAATGGCATTTATGATTTGATATACTTCCATATCTAATCCAATGAAAAAACTTGCTTCTTGTTTTTGTTGACTCTTGACATTCTTGAGTCCTATCCATTAAGAGTTTAGCCCAAACTTTACTAGTAATTAGATTAATATATCTCTTATTAACTCTGCTTACCCCCTGGAGGATTATTACTATTTGGAGCCTATGGAAGCTATAGCACTTCCTGATCCTATAGTTACTATAATTCCTACAGCTCCCCTAGCTCCTATTACTCCTACTATTCTTATTGCTCCTATTACTCCTATTATTCTTGGGGTTTGTTGAGCTTAAGATCTTGAACTATTCTTTCCTTAAATCTGGTGATATCACCCATTGGTGATTGCATTCCACCAAGATTGAGATTTGTCGCCTAATCATATAAATTATGAGCTACTTTTATTGCATCTAAACTCTTGCAATTTTCTTTTCTTTAATAGAATACAGCTGGAGGTAATAACTCATCTGGAATGCTTTACTGTCTCTTAAATGATAATTCATAATCAATAGGGTCTCTAAACCATTCGCTAAGTATCTCTTCATAACCTTGCGGTTTTTCTTTCCAATCCTCAATTAACTCTTTCATAATTTATGTTCTAAATGTACTGAGATGGAATCTCATTTCCTCTGAAACTTCATCCTTTAAGTTATGAAGTTTTTTATCTATTTCATTTTTACCATCAATAGCTAACTTTTCGATAGTTTCACCAGCTTAATATTCTACATTTTCCATTTTTAGACTAATAGTTTATAGGTCTAAAGTTTGCTAGTTTAAGTGATTGCTGTGATTTTCAAGCGAGTATTTTTGTTTTGATATCATTTCAGCTTATTAATAAAGCTGATTATTTATTACCATTATTTCATTATCATGAGATTTGATTTGCTTCACAAGTTCTTCATGAAAATCTAGTTTCATTTTGTCTACAGTTCTCTCCATTTCATTAATTTCCATCGATAAACTCTCATTGAATTTACTCTAGAGAGATTTTATTTTTAAAATCGTAACTTACAAATGTGTGAGCCTCTTACAAGAATCCTGACAGCTATTCTCTTACATAGTCCACACTATTAACTAATTTTGATATCTCTTGCCAAATTTTTTCATCAAGCTTGGTCCTTACTTTGTCCTATAATTAATGGTGAAAGATTTGTATGCTTACAATTTCATATTACTTTTTAGTAAGATCATCAAATGTTACGCATCTATTCAGTTACTTATTTGTTTAATACTCAAACTCTTCTATTCTTTTCTTCATTCTTTCGTTATCAATATTCAGGTCTTGAACTAGAATATGGTCATCATAGGTCCTCTTAATAGTTGGTTCGATCAACTCAATCACCAGTTTTCTTATTGATGTTTGGAATTAGAACCAATCTAGATTGATCTAAGTATGACTCAAGTCTACTTTTTGCAAGTCTCTATTCAATTCTTGATCAAGAGTACTTAAAATATGGTCATCCACCTGTATTTTTTAGGCTTGAATCTCAGCTTTAGCTGTAATTTCAGGCTGAGATAAGGTTTAGTTTCTCGAATTGGGGCGTAGATTCTACTGAGATGCAGATACTGATTACAAACCTTCTAACAATTATTCTTACTGTTGTTGTTCCATTTATAATAATGTATGAAAACAAATTAATTCTTTACTATAGTTCAGCTAAATTATAAGCTTATGGGGTTTTGGGGTTTTGGGGTTTTGGGGAGATCGGAAGAGCACACGTCTG